TCTAAAAATAGGTTCCATTTTTCTAATTGAAGGACAGTTTTTAAATTCTTCTTCTCCCTTTCATCTCCGCTTGTGAAGAATTAGAGATTCTAGATTGATTTGAATTTCTTTACCTGCTCTTACTCTCCTTCCTAAACAGATTCTTAATTAATTAAGATCGCAATTCGTGTTCTCAAATGGGTTCTAAATCGGAAATCTAATTCTGAGAGAAGGAGCAACTTTTTGGTCATTAAGAACGAGCAGCCACAAGGAGTTTCCATTTATTTTTTTGTTACTTTTTTGACAGAATTTTTAGTAAAGAAAGAAAAAGAGAAAATAAATTAGGGGTAAAACAGCCAAGTGTGATATTAAAAAACTAGTTGAATCAGGCAATACTCAGCCCATAAAATTAAAAAATAATAACAATAATAGGAAGGGGTTGGGAGTTCATACTAAAATTGAAATATTTACCTACGTCTTTTAAGAAAGGAACATCTCAAGGATCTATAATTACCAGCATTTTAATTAAGTATGTCAAGATAGTTTCAGTAGCTTTCATGGGGTAGTTTAGAAGCTGATACGTTCCTATCTTAAGACATCACTTGCCAAATCTAACTGTTGATGTTGCCGCAGCTGCTGGAGGTGCTGGTGGTGGAGGTGGTGATCTGAAGAGGAAGATCTTACTAATGGGGTATTCAAGTTCAAGATGGTGAAGCTCAGCTTTGCTTGATAGAGGGGCACTCACCCCTCTCTGCGGAAGTATTGGTGAGTTGATTAGGTAACTTGTTTTAAGTGTAAATAATATATATATATATATTTTTTTGGTACATCAAATGTAATTAAAATATTTATATGTACTTTAATTCTTATAAAAGTTTCAAAAAACTAAAATTGATTACTTTAATAACTATGATCATATTAGCTACCTTTAAGCAGCTTTAGCGAACAAAGGAGAAGTTGATAACACAACCTACTCCCACTGGACGGGGTCTAAAAACACTAAAAACAAAACTTGAGTCATACCTTCCACATTCTAGCTTAAGTACCAAAAGAAGAAGTCTCTTTTACATCCCAAATTCCATAATACTTGTTGAGAATCATTGGATAATGCTACTACCATATGATATATTCATTTGATTAATAAGATAATGGAATTGTAAAATTAAAAGATTAATTACAACTTTAAAAATAAATCAAGTATCATAGATGGTTAGATTATCATGTTAACCTGCTAAAGTATTATATAATAGACAAAGTGCAGATTTCAACATGACAGACATGAAAAGAAACCAAAAATCATATTAATCTCTCAAATACTCAACCCATTGAATCTAGGATTTTAGATAACATGATGAAATTTCTTTCAGAAGTTTCAGTAATCAAAAACATCCTTTATAAAATATTGAACTAAATAACATTTAACTATTAAAAGCAATAATAGTTTGTCTGATATCAAAATGACACGGGCTATATCCTTCCAACCTCTAATTTGTTTAATTGATTTACAATATCTATAAAAACTCCTGCAACAAAAAAAAAAAATAATAAATAAATAAAGATAAGCAGCTAAGTTGGGAAATGGTAACAGAGTATAGCTCCAATAAAAAATATCGATTGGTTCTTCGTTTTCCTAAATTTGCAAATATCAATCAATCAAACACGGATTTATAAACTTATAAGTTAAATAGAAGATATTAGCAGACAATTTATCGCCATAGGGAAACTTTAAACATTAATTTATGCCCTGCCAGTTGGTCCCCGAAGTCAAGACTGAAAAACATAGCCATATCAAGTTTGAAACTTTTACGTAAAACAGGTTAAAATAACAACTACATATGAACCTTGTGTACTTCTACAAAGGGAGAAAAAAAAAAGGAAAAAAAAAACCTCCTGTAAGAAACTTTTTCCCAAGTATCTTTGAAAAGTGACTTAATTTAATATTTGAATCAGCTTAATCATGTTGATGAGGATTGAAAAAAAAAAAAAAGCCTCTCGTTGGAAACTTTTTTTCCTAATTTTTTAGTATTAGCATCGTTCACAATCAGTTAGTGGAAAATATAAATCATTTAGAAGTTGTCACAGTTTCTAGAAAAAGATATTTATAACATAGGTCAGAGAGTGAAATTATGGACTGGATTGTAACTTTGATATTATAATACCTGTATCATTTGGAGAGTTCAGAGACAAAGGGGAATGCTAATATAGTGCAAGTGGTTCCTATCTGCTGTACTTCAATCTTTGATCTATCTTCACTGTTGGATTTTTGCTGCTAAGAAAGGGGGATTGAGAGAGGACTTGGAGGAGAAGGAGAGACATGCAGAGACATAGCCACAAACATAGAACATAACCATAAACATGGAAGGGTGTAGGCATTCACCCAACTGGAGAGGAGAAACATGCTTTCTCTTTCTCTCTCAATTTTCCCTCAACTTCTTCCTTCCTTTTTATAGAGGAAGGCTAGACATAAAACAATAATATTTTTCTACCTAAACTATAATTATTAACTACCTAAAACATTGACTAAAATGATGAAGTGTTTTGCCATTTCTTGTAGCCCATGTGAAGCTGCATGCTGCTGTCATTTGCTACTACTGTGCAGTCATATTGCAGCATCATTTAGCAGATTTCATTTCACTGCATTTTCTCATGCCATAGCTCCAACAAACTCCTCCTTGGCATTAAAGCTGCAAAAACAAAATTTTACTCGAGCACATTGAATCTGCCATTTTCAGTTCTATCTTTGGTTTGGTTTGTTGTTTGTTGCCAAGTACCATCCTCTCAAATATTTCAGCTCCTCTTGCAAATCAGCTTCATCTTTGTTAGATTTTTGCTGTTTGAAAAAATTCAGGAGCCTTAAACATTTTTTGCAACTCCACCATTGCAGCAACTTTGTCTGTGGATCTTTGCTGCTTCAGTACATTCTGGAGCTGTGATTTTTGCTCCTCCACCAAACTTCTTTGCCATAAAGCGATGGAGTTCACAAATAGATAAACATGAAGAGTTTTTTTTTTATGAAAAAAATTCATAACATTCAAAAATACAAACATAAAAGATGGTAGAAGAACACATAATGAAACTAAGATGTTGTGCTCAGTTTTCCTTTGCCATCAT